TGGATGATTATATATATATATATATATATATATATATATATATATATATATATTAAAAAATTATCATCTTGTCACGTTTTGAAAAAAGTCAAGACCTCGCCATGTATTGCAAGAACTGATTGACAAATCACACCTTACGTTATTTACAACCATGGTTAATATAATTAATTATATATGTTAATTTCCTTAAAAGGACTGGTTCGGTTTTTAAAATATTGATATCCAGACCTATTAAGAGGGTGTTTGGAAAAGCTTATAAAAATGACTTTTTACTTATTACCGGTATAAGTTAAAAAAAATGCAGGGTAAATTACACTAATCGTCCCTCGTGTATATGCCAGAAAGCGTGTTTAGTCACTATTTTCAAAAATTATCTCGAACCATCCCTCGTTTGGTTTAAACTTGCATGTTTCATCCCTCGTTAGTTTAAATATGCACAATTCATCCTTTGCTTAACATAAAATGACTATATTGCCCTTACTGTTTTATTTTGTTTTTATAAGAAAAATAAAAAATAAATTGTAATACTTTATTTTTACATCTATTAATAATTATTAACACTTAAACCTATCACCCCATCCCCCCCCCCCCATTTATCTATAAATACCCTAATTCTACATTCACACTCTTCATATCGCCCTCACCTCCACTTAAAATCAAAATCCGGCGACCGGAGATACAACCACCACCAGAACCTGCTTGACCATCGCCACTGACCACCAGCTCACTTCCCTTCCTCAATTCATGTCGAAAATGTGGACTCAACCACCGACAGACTCAACTACCAAATTTCTTGAAATCGACCATCGTTATTTTCAGATCTACAACTATCTCATCGGAAAAAGAATAAGAGCAACCCTCTTTGCAGCTCCAACATCGACTAAAGGAGACCTCGCGACCACTGCCAACTGCCCCTGATCGATCCACCAAATCATCTAGCGACCACGAACAACATTGATTTCTGGGACCCGACTTGCGGCGGCCAAACCCTAGATCTCGTTGTTGCCTTGGTTGTTTCCGATCAAACCCCCCGTCTCCTTCTCCTTCGTTTTCTCCCCACGATTGCACCTCATATCTCACTGTTCAGAAGAAATCGAACCAATATCTAACTGATTAGGCTTCAAATCATAAGAAATCCAATTTGCATCAAAAGTTTTTTTTTACATACGGGGGTTTCTTCTTTATATTCATACGAAGATATAAACCAGATTTGTAGTTTTTTGTCTATGTATGTATGTGTGTTAGTTTATGTAAGTATTGATTTATGAATTTGATGTCGTGAATGGGTTTCTGGATTTGATTTTTTATTAGATTTGATGTCTTGAATGGATTTTTGGGTTAGCATTTTTTTTGAAGTAAAACATGGATTTCATGTGTTTTCTCCGATAACAGAGGTAGCGGTGGCGGTCGCCGGAGGTTAGTGGTGGCGGTGATCAGAGGCTAGTGGTGATGGTAGTCGGAAGTAAATTTCCAATGACTGAATACAAATGGCCCACATATTTAATAAATAATATTTTTAACGGATTAATAATTAATAAATAAATCAAAAATAAATAAATAAGGGCAAAACGGTCTTTTTATGTTCACAGGGATGAAATGTGCAAGTTTTAAACACACGAGGGACGGGCTGAGTTAATTTTTGAAAATAAAGACTAAACATGCTTTCTGACATATACACGAGTGACGAATAGTGTAATTTACCCAAAATAGTATTTGGATAAAATATTTTTTAAAAACAGTTTATAGTTGGTGGAAACCTTTAATAAATCACATTTTGATAAGTAACTTACCCCTTGCTTGTCAAAGCTACTTATTATTTCACCATTCAAAAGAATCGACAAATATACCCTTTCCCTAAACCTTACATCAGACTCAAATAATCGTACGCCTCCAACATATGCTACTCTCGATTTGCCTCCTCAAACCGTACCCTGTGAAAGCACCGTCGTTAACCATCTCATCCCTACCGGTCGTAGATCGTCACAACCCACAGCAGCACCGACAACCTTCGACCGCACAGAGGTTCGTGTTTATGCATTCGTTTTTTTCCCCTTGCTGTCGATTTTTTTTTCCTGCTGTCGATATTCCTTCCTTTCCCCTTGTATGATAGATTTGGAATTCAAAAAATTGTGGCTTGTTTTTGCTGATGTCGATTTTTTATGTGATTTCACTTCCTTTTATGCAACTTCCTTTTGTTCCCCAACACATACAATGTTATCAATCTTTTGACTTTTGAGTTAAAGGACAAAAGATGTATATCAATGGAGTTAACTGAAGCATTTTACAAAAAAAAAAAAATTATTGGAAACCTTCTGTTAGAATCTGATGTATACTAAAGGACATAATTTTTTTTTGAGCCTGTGTTTTATTTTTTTGTACCGTCATTGCTAATAATTTGAATTGGAACACAAAAATATGATATGAATCCTGTGTTGCTGTCGATTATTTTGATTTGTGTATGTGTTTGTGCTTCAGTTATCAAAGAACTGGAACTCAAAAAATCTGACTTTTTTTTTTTTTTTTTTTTTT